GGGGCGCCGTTGAAAAGAAAAATCGGCGGCCTCGGACGTGGTGCAGGTTTCATGCTAACACCCGCAGGCCGATGTGTAGTGTACTGGTGCTTGAAACCACCAGTACATTTCCCTGCCATTTCTCTGACATGGCCGTGCACGTGCCGCTACAAAACTACCTGCTGGAGCTAAATGGCTGGCCCATTCAATTTCTTCTCATGGGCTTGGACCGCTGGCTCTCTGGGTTCAAACGAGGCATGCAGGGTGAAATCTGCTTCGACAAAAAAAGTAAGCCTCTAACACCAGTTCTCCCAAAGCTAAGTCGGGAGCATACCACTTCGGGGCTGGGCCAGTAGTGTCCTTTTTTTTTTTTTTTTTGTCCGGAAGCGTGCCACTTCGGGCCTGGGCCAGTAGTGTCCTGTGCAGGCCACTAAGGAAGGCCTACTTAGCCATTCTCGGATGCTCCCAAGCCTCAAAAGGTAGGTGCAAACTGCAGCTACCGGTAGGCTGAGCTGGTGGTTTAAGCTGCAAGCCAAGGCCTGGGTACAGTACTTAGGGCCTCGTTCCACACCACTTGAGTTCAAGAGCAAAGCGAAAGATCATCGTTCCACCCCCCCCTTAGAGGGATCCGCTTTGTTTTCACTTTTCTGCGTCTCAAGGGTGCGCACTTGAAACTCAAGGGTGACACATAGCCAAAATCGCCTTTGAATTCAAGTCACCTCCCGGGGGTACCTTGAGTTCAAGTGCCAGTAGATACTGCCAGCACTCCAAGTGGGGCCTTTTTTTGTTTTTCTTTTCTTCCAGCAGGCGATCTTGGTCCAAGATTGGTCAAGCCTTTCGGTTTCAAGTGCAGCCTGTTCATGGAACCATAAATCGAGTAAAGAGTAAATTAATCACAATTTCTCGTTTAGGGGCTAGTTCGACACTCCTCGGACGCGTAAAGTCCCTGAGGAATTGTTCGTTCCACATATCCTTGGCGATGCAGTTGGCAAAAAAAAAGTGAAAACACTCCGATGGAAATTCCTTGGGCTCCGAGGATTCCCCAGCCATTTCACCTCACGAGGTCCCTTGGGAAAAAGGAATCCGTGTTTCACGGAGAGGAGCGGGCACATGGGTAGAGAGACGTAACAACCGAGAATCTGGATCGTGGCAGCACCCTATCCGCTGAAGGCCTTAAACACATTCAATATTTTTTTTCTTTTTTCTTTTTTCTTGTCTGACATCGTTCGAAGGAAATGTCCTTGGGGAACGTCCCGAAGGACAGGTGGAACGATGGCGGGAATTTCCTTGAAACCCCCCAAGGAAACTTCCTTCGGCCCCGAGGACGCCCCGAATTTCCTTGAAACCCCCCAA